AAGGAAAAAGTATGAGAAGAGAAAAAAAATGGAAACAAGGTCTTTGCAAATAGGAAAGAGTGGAGGGGGTGAAGGGAAGGCAAGGGAAGGGGAAAAAAAATAAGAACCAAGAGACTCATGTAATGGTACAAGATCCCAATGATGAATGTAACTGTATTTTTTTACCGAAAATGTACCAATAAACTTAATGGGAAAAAAAAAATCATTATAACTATATAGAGGCAAATGGGAGAATAGGAAGGATACGTGGATATGTTTTCAGACAGAGAAAGAACTAATTCCTTATCTTTGAAAGTGGGAATTCAACAAATAATATCTAAGACAAAAATATCAAAATGTATCAAATACAAACATGTTAGTAACAACTTAGTAGTCATATCCAAAACAATTAGCTGAAGAACTAAAAGAAATTGTGTTCAGGGAGGGGAGATAAAAGGAGGAAGGTCAGGACTGGTATGAGTCTTATTTTTTAGAGGGGGGTGTCCTAGGGATTGAACCCAGGGCCTATGCACTGAGCTACATCCTCTGCTCTTTTTAATTTTTTATCTTTAAAAGAGTCTCATTGGGGCTGGGGATTTAGCTCAGTGGTTCCGGCGCCTGCCTTGCAAGCACAAGGTCCCGAGTTCGATCCCAGGTACCAAAAAAAAAAAAAAAAGTCTCATTAAATAGCTAAGTTGCCCAGACTGGGCTCTAAATTGACTCAGTCTCCCAGAATGTTGGGATTACAAGCATTTACCACTATGCACAACTTAGGGTTTTTTGTTTGTTTTGCTTTTGTTTTTAATTAATTTAATTGTTACATTTTAGGTATACAATATAATGACATTTATCATTGGATAAATGTCATTGGATAAAATTATCATTGGATAAAAATCATTGGATACCTTTACTTAATCTCTCCTGGTTCTTATTTTCCCCCTTCCCCTGACCTCTCTTCAACCCCTCCATCCCTCCCCATTTACAAAGAATTTGTTTCCATTTTTTCATTTTCTCATATTAATTCCATTCCCTTTCCTTTCCTCTACCCCTCCCACTTCCCCTTCCCCTTTGCCCCTTTTCTTCCTATTTCACATTCTCTATTATACCTTTTAGTCCTTATTTACACTTTCAGTTTCTCACACTTGAGAAACTACTCCATATTTACACATGTGTCCTATTTTTACTCCTTTAAACAATGTTCTTGAGAAACTTTGAGCCAGGCATGGTAGTGCACACCTATAATCCTAGCACTTGGAAGGTTGAAGCAGGAGAATTGCTGTCAGTTCAAGGCCAGCCTGGGCTACATAGTGAGTTCAGAGCCAGCCTGAACTACCCTGTCTTAAAAAAAAAAAAGATACTACACCCATTCATTCCTAGGCAAAATTTTTATAGTAAACTCTACATCTAATTGTGTATGTACTTTTCTTTTCTCAGTACCAGAGATCAAACCCACAGCTTCATATATGCTAGGCACTGCCTCTTCCAATGACCCTGTATATCCATTTTAATAAGTAAATAAAAGCAGACTTTGAGAAAATACAGAAATTTATACAGTGAGGTACCTGACAAGTGTAGAAAAGGCCAGTAGCATACAAAAGGAAAGTGAAACAAAGCGAACCCCAGCTGGTGTAGCAGGAGGACGACTTGTCATCAACTGCAGTAACTGTTCAGCTTCTTCTTCAGTTGGTCTAAAAAGCAATACACAAGTAGGCTTTACTTTTTAAGCTGAGGGAGGAAGAAAGAAAACTTCTCAACACATTAACCTTGCTGATACAAAAACTTTATAATGATCCTACACTGTAAAATCATTAACATCTAAAATTCTCAAAAGCAACACTTTTAAGAAATTACAACTACAGTGTTTTTCCTGAGACACAGAGGCAGACCTCACTTTGCCCAGTAGTGTGGGACCATAAAAAAGAACACATAGCTGAAACCATGCAACACAATCTTAATAATGGTGAAAATTACTATTGTACTGTGACCTATTCAATATTTTTGTTAAAACCTGAAAAACTATGTTATAATGGAAAAAACAGTAAAACTAATATTTCCATGCCACTCTGTAATAGAAAACACTAGAAACATTAAGAAATAGTGTTTTGTTTCTTTGTAAATAGCCCTTGCCTTCTTTACATTGCATAATTTGTAACATAGAGTAAGCTTTTTCTCTATGCCTTGCTGAAGTGGCATATACCCTTCTAGGTTTGGATCAGCTTCCAACACTTTATCCTTTGCAGTTTCATTTCCATAAGACTTCCTTTAATGTGAAGATGTATGCATATGTCACATCCTCTGGGAAAATTTCACCCTTTTCTTACACATCATTTATGTTAACAGGTTCACCTTTGCTAAATTCCTCCAGCTCCGTATCTAGGGTCTTGGAAATGGTACCAGTGTCAAAATTCACACAATTAGCTATTCAATTTATATCTGGCTCAAATATCATTTTCAGTGTTACTACTTTTTTTTGTTTATTATACTTTCATCTTTATTGGCCAATTCCCTCTTTCAATTACCCATTTTTGTTAAATGGCATAAGTTTATCACTGAGAGATAAGGAAGCAAGGAAACTTTGCTGTCTGTGCATGAATCTAACAAAACACGTGTGGTGCTCAGTCACCAACAGACTTTTAAAGAAATAATGCTAGTGGTCACTAATACACATGAGATTATTTACATAGTGGTATGTATCCTAAAGAGCTCACAGTAAAGTCTGAACTTTATACAATTATTAGGTTAATATACTGTGGTAACTGAAATTTGGACACTATTGAGGGATGAGTATTTTTTTTAACTAAATGATAGTAACTGATGGGCTGGGGATTTAGCTCAGTGGTTCTGCCGCCTGCTGTGCAAGCATAAAGACCCAAGTTCGATTCCCAGTACCAAAAAGAAAAGAACACTGAATTTCACACATATCAGAGACACAAAGTGAAACTAGACATATAACAGTTGAGGACATTATTCAAAAGAATGGAGTACAGGGAATAAAAAAAAAACCTGTGCTTAATAGCCCCATTATATCAGTTTTTTAAAAATTATAATCTTGGTTGCAAAAGGAAACATAGGAGAGATTTACTTCAACTAGCTGCATGGACAAGAAAAGGATCACACACAGATCATGCAGCAGAAGTCTTAAGTTGCAGTGAAATCACAAGTTTCTTTATATTGTGATCAGAAATTTAAAAACTACTCTGGCCCCTCCTGTATTTTCATAATTCTATTACAATCAGACCAAAATAAATTAACACATTCCTGACAGGAATACTTGACCTTAGATCAGCAATCTTTTTTTTTTTTTCCATACCAGGAATCAAACTCAGGACCTTGTGCTTGCAAGGCAGGCACAGTGCCACTGAATTAAATCCCAGCTCCTAGAACAGCAATCTTGATCTAGGCCAGGCTCCCACCTGAGCCCAAAGAAAACCTTTAATTCTCCGAACAAAAAGGCCTTAGGCCCACTTTCTTGGGATAAAAACAAGAAAGTAAAATGACAAAAAGGTAAAGTATCAAATTATTGAATACTTGAGTCCAGCGATCCCCATCAAAGCACAATAGAGACGTAAGAGTGCACTGGCTTTCACAACATGCTCTTCTTTCAGCCCCGAGTACACGGACACATTGGGCTCCATCTCCACATCAGCTTCTTCTACAATGCGGGTGCTTCTTACTGTGGGAAGAATGCCCATCAGCTCCAAAAGAAGCTGCCTTCTCATCTGCCAAAGAACAGAACTGCTGGTCTCTCTTTTTCTCTGAAAGAAATATGAATCACAAAAGGAAAAAAGCATAGAGCATTTACTAAAGTGAAAGGAAGCTCAAACAGACCTCCTCATTTAAACACTTGAAACTGACCCATTCAGAGAGGTCACTGTAACTACAGAATCTCATTTTAACAATTCAAGTAAACTCAAAATTCACGGGTCTGTTGGAAGACTACTCTACCCTGATTTGGACAGGTTGCAGAGAGAGGAAGACTAAATCAGTGATCATCTGAATTATAGAATTTTGTTTCTTCTCTTTTCTTTTCCTTTTTTTGTTTTTTTGAAATAGGTCTCGCTATATAGTTCAGGCTGGCCTTGAACTCACTATGTAGCCTAGGTTGGTCTTGAACTCACAGCAATACTCCTGCATCAGCCTCGCAAGTGCTGAGATTACAAGCGTGCACCACCATGCCCAGAAACGTATAGAATATTATTTAAATGATACTTTTAAATAAATAATATAGAGCTGAACATGTAGCCCAGTGATAGAATGCTTGCCTAGCATGCACAAGCCCCTGGCTTCAATCTACAGCAAAGAGAAAAAATAAATAAAAAGCAAACACAGGCCAGGGATTTAGCTCAGTGGTTCCACTGCCTGCCTCGAAAGTGCAAGGTCCTGAGTTCGATCTCTGGTACAAAAAAAAAAAAAAAAAGCAAATACATCATGTAGTACAGTAGGACGTACTCAGATTGCGGAGAAAGATGGTCTTGAGTTTAAACCCTAGCTCTACTATTGAATGATTAAGTACTTTTAAGTACATGAGGTAACTTCTCTGAACCCTAATTTCTTTTACTGACAAGGAAATGAATATTTTACTAATAATATTTATCTAGTAGAACTGTTGTAATTAAGTTTATTTTTTTTATTTATTTTTTTTTTGGTACCGGGGATTGAACTCGGGCTCTTGCACTTGCACAGCAGGCGGTGAAACCACTGAACTAAATCCCTGGCCCATTAAGTTTATTATTAAAGCAGATTTATCTATATTGTACTTGGAAACGCTCTAAGAATAATAAACAAGTAATATTTGCCATTTATAGTTTAGAACTGCTTTCATGTTATTATCTTTCTTTTTCCATTCACACACCTACTTAGCAGATATTGAGTACTTGCTACTTATCAGACACAATATTAGGTCCTGCAGAGTAAGAGATGATTAAGATGTCATCTCTCCCTGAAGAACTGGGGGAAGGGGGCTAGACTTTAAAAAGTTCTAAAAATTTAAAAAAAAAAAATTTGAGAAGTTCTAGAAATGGATAGTGATAATGGTTGTACAACATTGTAAATGTAGTTAATGCAATGAACTATACACTTCAGAACAATTAAATGGCACTAGATGTTTATGTACGTAAATATGTACACATATGTGTACATTAAAATTATAGAGTATAACTTATTTTGGTGACCTAATGCAGCAGTTCTCACGAGCCTGACCCAGGACCCTGGAGATTTCTAAAACCCTTTCATGGAGACCAAAATGGCAAAACTATTTCTTTAACAATACTAAAACATTGCCTTTTTTTCCTTCTATCTCACAAGTCTACACTGTATTTTTCCAAAAGTTTCTATTAACCCAGACAATGACAAGATTTGAAAAATGTAAAATACAATTATTCTCACTAAATTTTTTGATTTTGGAAAATATATTTTCCAACTTAAAAGTGGGTTCACATTTAATTAGGTAATTACTGCTACTTTTAATGAATTAAATATTTCAAACATTTCAGTTGCATTTTTTTTTTGGTACTGGGGATCGAACTCAGGTCCTTGAGCTTGCACAGCAGGTGGCGAAACCACTGAGCTAAATCCCCGGCCCTCAGTTGCATTTTTAATGAGAAATATCAAAAGATAAAAAGCCATTCTAACAAATGCTCTTTCATATCCTCAATGAGTTTTCAAAATGTAAGGATGTCCCTGAAAATAAATTTAAGAACCACTGATCTAATGATATATTTTTAAGAGTTTCTTTCTCTTTTAGTAATCACGAAAATATCTGATCCACAGCCAAGAGATATTTAACCCTCACCTGCTGTCCGTTTCGGATAAAAGTTCCAAACCAAGTCCGGACTTTTGCATTTGTTCCAAGCAGCAAACCACTAACAAAACAAACCAAGTCACTCACTCCATCTTCACAAGCTTCATTTTTAGTATGATCCAATGTCAATGCCACTCCAAGGCCTGGCAAGTGACATTCTTCCACCTAACACAACAAAGCAAGCAAATTAAACTCAGTCTCATAAAGGGTTAGGATGTTTTAAAATCTAAAGCATCTAACTCAGGTGTGATGGCACACACCTGTCATCCCAGCCTCAGCAGGCTGAGGCAGGAGGATCACCTTGAGTTCAAGACCAGCCTGGGCTACACATTGAGTTCAAGGCCAGCCTGAACTACACAGTGAGACCCTGTCTCAAAAAAAAAAAGAGAGAAACAAAGGTAACTCACCCAATAATTAATTAAAATTCCCAAACTCTACAAGATTCTAAAACCATCTTTAGAAAAGTACATCGTCCTAATACAGTATAAAGAGCTGTGTCCCATAAAAACAAGATCTCTTACCACCATGCCTCGGACCTTGAGGGCCTGAGAAGGATTCATTTTACATAAGAAGCGTAGAGCATCTGTCCTGCGCCTTCCTCCGAGACTTTCTTCATCTTGTCGTTCTCCATTTTTGATCAGGCCTCTACAAACTAAATATTTAAGAGAGTCTATTACCTCAGGCTTTGTAAGAAAGATGTTATGAAGTAGGCATGGTGGTACATGCCTATAACCCCAGTACTCGGGAAGCTGAGGCCAGAGGACTGCCACAAGTTCAAGGCCAGCCTGCCCATAAGAAATCTCCCTTAAAAGGCTGAGGATGTAGCTCTGTGTTGGAGCATTTGCCTAGTATATGGAAGGCCTTGGGTTCGATCCCCACGACCAAAAAAAAAGGAAAAGAAAAAGAAAAAAAGAAATCTATCTTAGATTAAAATAAAAAGATAAGGAAATACTTAACATTATCCAAGTACTAATTGTAAGAAAGATTACATGGCTGTATTAACATGAGATAGAGTAGACTTAAAAAACAGAAAAATGACCAGGAATAAAGAAGGTCATTTCATAAAGAAGGGGAAAAAGGCTCAATTTATCAAAAAGATGTGTCAATCCTAGATGTGCATTGACTCCATAAGAAACTTGAAAACACACAAAACAAAAACTGACAGCACTAAAAATAAAAACAAGCAAATCCACAATTATGTTTGTTTTTGTTTTTTTGTTTTTTTGTTTTTTTGGTACCAGGGATTGAACTTGGGTCCTTGTGCTTGCACAGCAGGCAGTGAAGCCACTGAGCTAAATCCCCGGCCCCATCACAATTATGTTTGGAGACAACAAGCCACCTCTTTCAGCAGTTGAAAAAAACAATCAGAAAAGCAGAAAAAACATAATTTAGAAAAAGCCACTTTATGTCATGTGATAGTAAATAAATCTTTAGATGTCTAAGGGAAATACTATCAATATGCCATTTCACAGATGAGAAGTTATGCATCCTAATGGATATTACACAATAAGAAACAAAGTCAGGAATCACACCCCAGATCCAGGGCTTTTCCTTCCCTGGCTCCCAATTCATAAATTACCTTGCTTAATAAAAACTGTTTTTATTTTTATATTACTCAGACTCAAACAACCATATTCAGTTATTAGTAGTTTAAAATAAAGGTGAAAATTCTTCATTAATTGGTTAATTTCTACTCTCTACTATTCTGCAAAATGACAGCAATAAGGCTAAAAAATAAAAGTCTAATTGCTGGTATTCCCTATTACCTATCTCTCATATTGCTCTTTGGCTAGTTCATACATGTATGTCTTCTCTTCGTTTCCTGAGTATAGCGATTATACCTTATAGTTCATTGGTATTTTTCTGCTGTTGTATTATAGCTCTGGTGGCCAAGGCAAAAAAAAAAAAAAAAAGTTTCTGTTACATATTAACTACACTTAAATTTACAAGGTCAATAAAATTTGGAAATATCTAAGTTCAGTATTTCTAAAATAAATACCCACTAATAAACTTTCAAAAGATAAGCTTTGAAATAAAGCCCTGTGTTTCTTCTTGGCTTAAAAAAAAAAGGACCTAACCACATTGCAGTGGCATGTACCCAGTTACTCAGGAGACTAAAGAGGGTTTGTTTGAGCCCAGGAGTTCAACGCCAACCTGGGCAACATAGTGAGACCTCAACTCAAAAAGAAAAGCGGTGGAGGGAGGCTGATGGTACAACCCTGGGAAACTGAAGCAGAAGGAACACAAGATTAAGCCCAGACTGTGCCACTTAGCAAGACTCTCTCTCAAAATAAAAAATAATAAAGGGCTGAGGATATAGCTCAGTGAAAAGGCCCTAAGTTCAATCCCTAGAACCACATACAAAGGATCCTGTACATTGTGTACATGCTCCACCATATGTCTTCAATATCTCATTTTAAAATTATATTTACCTTCATTAAAACTATCAGGAACATTAGCCACCAAGAGACACAAGAACCAGGCGCCATTTCTAACATGTAGCAAGGCTTCAGCTACATCAACTATAGGAAGCAAGGAAGGGAGCTCTATGAGAAAACAAAGTCAATGTTACTATTAAAGAGTACTATTTCATTGTGTTATATGTTAAACATCTTTTTATTTCAAAGATGTCATCAGAATGCAATTAAAGTACTTTCTTTTCATAGTCTAAAGCTGTTCCATGTGTGGTATGGCACATTCCTATAATCCTAGCATTCCAGAGGCTGACCCAGGAGGATTCCAAGTTTAAAGCCAGCATGGGCTACATAGTGAAACTCCTTGTCTCAAACCAAAGAGCTGACTTGTTCAGTAAAATACCCAATAGCCACATACAGATATTTAAATTTAAATTTTTTTTTTTTTGGTCCAGGGATCGAACTCAGGACCTAAAACTTGTGAGGCAGGCACAGTGGCACTGAGCTAAATCCGTGGCTAAATTTAAATTTAAATAGTTCAGTTCCCCAGTCATACTAGCTACATTTCAAGTAATCCCCAGAACATGTGACTAGGACATAGACAGGACAACACAGGACACTGCAGAAAGTTTTACTGAACAGCGCTGGTCTAAGATCTCACAAAAAACTTTGCATTTTTGTCTTTTTGCATTTATTTCTAACATATATACCTATTACAAAGAACTTGAAAAATACAAAACAGTATAAAGAGAAAAAAGTTTTTAAAATTAGCTCCAATCCCCTTTCTTAAAGTCAATAATATTAATTTTGTTTTGTTTTTTGAGACAAGATTTCACTATGTTGTTCAGCCTGGCCTTGAACTCAATAGTAGCACAGGCTGGTGTTGAATTCAAAGTGATCCACTTGCCTTAGCCTCCCAACAGCTGGGATTACAGGTATGTGCCACCACACCTGGCTTTTTTTTTTTTTTTAAACAAGATCTCACCATGGTGCCCTGGCTAGCCTTGAACTTGAGATATTCTCACTTTAGCCTTCCAAGTACCTGAGACTACAGGTATGCGCCACCACATTTAGATGCTTTTTTCATTTAACATACTGTGAACATTTTCCAAAATCATTAGTAAGCATTAAAATCATTAAATCAAATATACTATTTTAGTATGTACATAATATGCGATATTATACAACTAATATACTTCACTTAACTCATTGTTCTACTATTAGTCATTTTTTAACTTAAACTTGTAGGCATAATTCTATTTGATGATCCCTAACAACAATCCGGGCTAAGAAGTTACACACTATCATTTAACAGCAAACTATGTCTGAATTGTATCTTAGCGCTAAGTACAGTACCTGCTTGTAAAATACAAAGTACATCTGCAGCTTCCTCCAAGTAAACTGGACTCTCAAAGAGCTCAGAAGACTTGAAAAAAAATTCTCCATTGGATTCAGAAACCTTAAAATGCAAAAACACCTCTATTAATTTCAGGTAATAAATTAAATCTCTTACTATTTTTGTAGTATTTGTTGAGCTCACATAGATCATGTTTCATTTTTTTGTTTTTGTTTTTTTTCTCCCAGTACTGGAGATCAAACCCAGGGCCTCTACCATTGAGCTCTACCACTGCGCTCTGTCCCTAGCCCTTTACCTTATATTTTGAGACAGGGTCTCACTAAGTTGCTGTGGGCGGCCTTGAACTTGTAAATCTTCCTGCCTCAGGCCGCAGGGCAACTGAGATTCTAGGAGCAAACCATCATGCCCAGCTCATTTCTCTTAATATATCACTAATATACTGCAGCAGAATGGACAGTACTAGATCACCTTCAATCAATTTAACCACAATTACTATTCAGATCTAGCAGTACTAGTCTCAAGAATTGATTGCTAACTGGGCCGGGGATTTAGCTCAGTGGTTTTGCCGCCTGCTGCGTAAGTGCAGGGACCCGAGTTTGATCCCCAGTACCAAAAAATAAAAAGAAAGAAAGAAAGAATTGATTGCTAACTACATATTTTAAGACATTGGAAATTAAAGGATAAGGTAAACCAAAGAAATGATCTAAGAATGTTATCTACATAACCAGTTGTTTTCAAAAGCCAAAAACTCTAAACGTAAAGCTGTATAATAAATATAAATTCACATTTGATTCTGAATGAACTGTGAGGAAAAATAAGGAATTAAAATTTGGATCAACAAAAGCACAAAGTTCTCGGGAATTTTCCTTCAGTAAGTCTCTTTCTCTCCCGTGGCCCCTACCAGGCATTGAACTCAGGACCTTGCACTTATGAGGCAGGCATTGTGCCACTGAGCTCAATCCCAGGCTCCTCCTTCAGTAATTTTATCACCATGCTTTGCATATGATGAAGAATGCTAAATAGCTGGGGATTGGGCTCAGTGGTTCCACTGCCTGCCTCACAAGCACAAAGTCCTGAGTTCTATCCCCAGTACCAAAAAAAAAAAAAAGAATGCTAAACAGAAAAATTAGAGGAGAAAGTTCACTTATTTTAGCATAACCATCAAGTGATATATTAAGGAAAAGATGCAGAAAAAAATTTGGTTGAGGGTGAGGGGAGGATTTGGTTGAAATTAAAGAGTATTAGTATAGTGGAAAAGAACAGAAGAAAATTATTTGTGATAGAAAAAATTTTACAAAGATTTGTAACATATCTTAAAAACTTTATCTAAAGCTAGCTGAAACTTCCTACCAGCATCTTCTCTAGAAACAGAATTTAGGGTGTTTTTTCCCCCACAATTTATACAACCAAATTTTACTGATTATAATAATTGACCCCAAATTTCTAACAGTAACTTTTACCTCTAAAACTCTGGGCCTCATTTCACATGAGACACCTTAATATGACGATCCAATTTAGTTCTTTGTATGAAAGATCCTGGACATTAGAAATTTTAAGTTCAGAGTTTCAATTAACCATAATTACCCAAAGGTCCATGACTTAAAAATCTATATTTTTACTTAGAAGAAAATAGCCTTCATTCGGGTCAATTAAGTCATGTAGTGAGTGAGGCCAATCAGTGATCCTACATCTAATTCAGATCTGATATTTCTTAATCATTTTTTTTGTTGTTGTTAAATTCTTTTATTGGTACATTTTAGGTATACAACACAATTACATTTCTCATTGGGAATTGTACCTTTACATAATGCATCTTGGTTCTTTTTTTTTTTTTATGCATCTTGGTTCTTATTGATATTCCTTACTCATTGTCACATATGAGGAGTTTCATGTTCAGGCAGTGTCTAAATGAATCCGCACATTTTTCAATTATGCCACACTACATTTTATAGGGGACTTGTCAATTTATACAAGTCTTGACATAAATTAAGACGTCAAGAAGCCATTGTATGGATTCCATACAGGGGGAAAAAATCCCTATGACAGAAAATGTAAGGCATACATAAAAGAAAATAGTAATTAGAGAAAGCAATCCTATATGGCATGTTTTTTTGTTTTCTTTGTTGTTGTTGGCTTTGTTTTTGTTGTGGTGGTGGTGGTAGTGATGGTTATGGGTTTGTTTTGGGGGTTTTTTTTGCAGCACTAGGGATCAAACCTAGGAACACTCTGTCTCAGAGTTACAACTCAACACTTTTTATTTTTTTATTTTGAGATGGGATCTCACTAAACTGCCCAGACTGGCCTCAAACTTGCAATCCTGTTTCAGCCTCTGGAGTAGCTGGGATTATAGACCAATGTATATTTTTAATATCCTTTTAATCTTTGAAAGGAAAACACATATCAAATAGAAATACCAGTCGAAAAATAAATAAATAAATACCAGTAGAAGATGCAACCTGCCTGACTTCTTGCCTCTATTTTTTTCTACCTTTCTATGTATAGATATCAAAGCACAAATACTGTCTTTCGCAAACAGGTAAGAATCAAAGAGATGAGGGGAGGTGGAAAAATAGAGAGGGGAAGGGGATGTAAAAAGAATTGAGATGTGTTATGTACATGCACCAACTCTCCACGATGAAAGTAATCATTACAGGCCGGGGATTTAGCTCAGTGGTTCACTGCCTGCTGCGCAGGCGCAAGGACCTGAGTTCGATCCCCGATACCAAAAAAAAAAAAAAAAAAAACGAAAGAAAGTAATCATTATATCCTTCAAACATGTACTAATAAAAATTAAAATTTGAAAGAAAAAATCATGAATACTTTTGAGTTATGGCTAAAAAATAAAAGAGCACCTTGTTCATAATTGCTAATAGTTCACTAAGCACAAGACGCAATCGACGAGGTGAATCACTGTGTTCAAATTCTAATGTCAGTCCATGCTGAAGCTGTGACACCAGGATGCTTTCTCCACTGCCTCCTCCAAGTTTATGCCTAATGAAATACAAACACGTAAAACAACAGTTATGAGAACACTGGTGTGGAAATAATTGCATTTTAAATGTTTTCTATTACTTTCAAAATGCTGTTTAGTTTGCCTATTTCAGGAATTCACGAGCTACATAAGGACTCCATCAGATCTGGTAGTTAATACCCACTGCCATTAAACAAAAGTGCCTTCTGGATTCACAATGGGTAAGAAAGCATATAATATCAGGTGAGTCCAGTAAATCCGTCTAATCCAGGGGAAGTTATCCTACCCACTCCCCACAAACAGTAACTGACCTAATAAGTTCTCCCTAAGCACAACAGTATGTGGCCAAACTTTTCTGCAGATATTTTATAATACAGAATTCAAAAGACCCCAGAATTTTAACTCTAAATAGGAAAGATAAATAGTAAAATGACCTCCAAAGTTTAGATTCTCATTCTCTGGAGGAACTCTGAAAGTCTGAAAAACATCCGATTCTCTACTCCTTGGAAAATCCAAATAAATTCCAACCTGTGTATTACATAACATTACCTGAGCTGCTGCTCTTTACTGGCATCTTGTTCTAAAGCATGAAAGTCCACAGACAACAATGCAACAATAGAGTTGACAGCTTCCACTCCAGAAAGAAGGCGAAGGATAAGTTTTTTATCCTGAGCCCAGCTTTGGCTCTGATCAGCTGGAGCACAAAGTGCCATCCGCACCAAACAGGGCAAAAGAAGTCTCAGCTCTGGATCACTTAAAGATGCCAGGCGAACAACATCCACTTTCTGCATTGCTTCAAAGGCAAAAGGGCTAACAAACTGAAGGCTTGTACACTCAGTCATTGTCACTGCTGATCCTGGTGATTAAAAAACAAAAAGTATGGTTATAATTTCCACTTGTATGATCACCCTTCTTTTTCAAAAATCTGAAAAATGTGGTGGATCTTTAATAGGGCCTTATGTTGGCAATGTTTCTGGCACAATTAAAGACCAGGTTTCTTTGTCTTTCTATGTTTCTACTGCCATCTGGAAAATAAGAAAAATAGAATTTATTAATGTACATTCCAGCTTTAGGAATCTTCTGCTCTAATACTTATTTTATAAAGCACATATATGAAGTCCAGAAAACTCAGTAACCAACTTAAAGTAACAGTATTAGTTAGTGCCAAAACCCAAGGCTGAACCCTCATAAAATTGATCCCAGAGCAAGAGCCAGATGTGGTGGCTGCAGTCCCACACCTGTAGTCCCAGCACCCAAAGGGTGAGGCAAGACTGCCCCAAGTTGGAGGCCAGTCTGGGCTACACAGTGAGTTCAAGGCCAGACTGAACTACATAGCAAGATCCTGTCTAGAAATAAATAAATAAATATTTTTAAAATCCCAATCCAAGACTTTCTTCACTGTGTCAGGTATAGAGCTCCTCGATAAGTAAATGCTTATACGTGAATGGCCACAGCCATACTTCCTTAGTTTCACAGGCCTCCCCAACAAACTTTTGGACTTCTTTTCCACCCTCTGTGAGTAGATGAAAATACTAGTAAATCACTTTAGTGGCCTAAAGTAATGTCAGATTCCAGGCTCCGAAGACCACAACACAATTTTATGTCCCCTGTTGGGGGGGGGTAGATGAGTAAGTGAAATAATTAGCTATAGGAGAGACAAAGACGAGTCCCACTTAGGCACTTCTCTGTCTCCAAGAGAAATCAAAGGCACAAACAAAACAAAACAAAACAAAACAAAACAAAACACCACAGGAATAGGAGGCTCGAAGCAGGTAGCCAAAGCCATCTCCTCTTAAGACCGACTGACTAGAAGAAACTTGGGGCAGAGTCTTGGACAGAAACGATGCTTTGCTTTCAAGCTGGAGCTGGTCGTTTAACAGGCTGATGGAGCAGAGGCGCCGAGACCTGTGTGCTCCTAGGTTTTCCCTCAGTCGTAAGAACCAAGTCCCTCCGGCTGAGCAAAGCTCGGCTGGCTGCTGACAAAGCGGGGAACGCGCTGAGGCCTGAGAAGCGGGTGCTTCATACCTTAAGCTCTACCCTGCAGCCTCACGGGACCCCACTGGGATTCCGCGTCTTAGAGACGGGACGCGGCAGAAATCGAGAACGCGGTCCGAAGTTGGGCCTAGGCGATCATCCGGATCCCCAAACCCTGCCTGTGCCCCAAGTCGGTTCGGGCACCAAGAACTCAGATGGTGGGACCAACCGGGTCGTCGATAAAATGGGGGCAGGATGGGTAGACACCCCACAAAGACAGAACAGAATCTGGAGAGAAGGAAAGGCGGAGGAGACTTTTTCGACCTGCCCCAGAACCTTCATTCATCCCCAGAGTCTGTCTCCCGTCGGCCACCGTACTGGACTGAGAGCAAGAGTGGCTCTAAGAGGAAACCCGGAGACGTCGGCGACCCTGCAGCGGTGCGCGTGCGCTGGCCCGCCCCTTTCTCCACGCTATTCGCGGTGCCTGACTTCACCTCATAAAATCAGAGATACTGGGTCAAGTCCTTTTTCCAGAACCTACCAGCTGTGTCCTCTTAGATTAGTCATTGGGCATCTCAGAGTTCCAGTTTCGTCATTACAGGATTAACATGGCATTAAATACTATTAATGTATGTTAAAAAAAATTGTCGCAATGTTCTTTGACCGAAACACGCGAACGGACCCGCTGTACCGTTCTTAATATCCCAGCTCTCACAGCACCAAAGTTCAGAATTCCAGGATTTGTAGAATATAAAAAGTAATCTAATCCTAAACCATCTTCCAACACGCGATCCCACTCACCCAACCAGCGAAAGTTAAATACTTTTCAGGGTTCTTTACCTTCGGGTCCGTACATCTTCAGAATTGTGTTTAGCACTTCTGGCAAAAAAGATCCAGACTTTTCAACAATTTCTCAAAAGTAGTTTATCACCTAGAAAATAATCATTCTCATATCTTCATAATATTTTTCCATAGTTTCATGTTTCTAGTTTAATAAAAAACCTGGCACCTTCTGTTTACAAAGTATTGTGGTAAGAGTTGGGAACAAAAGTTACTTTACAGAGATAAAGTATTTTGTAAGCCCTTGACAGAGGGATAATCTCTAAAACTGAGATCTGGTTTTCAATATACACGGACAAAAGAAGGAAAGAAGATGTGTTGCAACTTTTCTCAAAATTTCCACCTGATCCACAGTAATGCATTTCACATTGTGACCCAGAAGACACATATGCAAATAGCCACATAAATATGTAATATAAAAATATTATAAATATATATCATATAAACACGTATAACACATACACCCGTATTTACATGGAATAAAACATTTTATGAAATAATACATGGTATGTATTATATTTCCTCTTTTAAAATTGGCTGTTCATTATACATTTAAAATTGATTTCATAGTCCACCAATGGGTTACAAACTACAATTTGCTTTTTTTATTTGAACCTAGGGCTTCACACATGTTCTGCAACTAAGCTACACTTCAAGCCCCAATAAGTCATTTTAAACTAATATTTATTAAAGACTTATTTGTTGAACACTTGCAAAGCACTGTAATAAATGCCTTATATCTATTATTTAGTTCTCTGAGGTAGGTAGTAATTGTCTCCAATTTAGAATTGTGGAAATTGAGACTGAGAGAGAATAAACAATTTAATATCCCTGAATGATCTTTCACAGGAAGCATGTGAAAAGAATTCAAACACAGATTTAGAGAATGAATGAGGGAAATCAAAGGCATTGATATGAATTAAGTGATTTTTTAAGGTCTTTTCCAAATCTAATTGTTTATACTCCTGTGATCACTAATGGAGAAACAATATGCAAATCCAGTGTCTTCATCTTGATCTGTAGAGAACAGCAAATCCCAGCAGGCCTGAAGGAGATGAGAGCACCCCAGAGAGGAGTGCTGACACTTTTCTCCAAATTCCCCTCTCCTTATCTTTCAATTCTTTTTTTGTTTTTGTCTTTTTTTTAAATTGAGACCATTTCTCACTATGTAACCCAGACTTTTCTGGCACTCAAGATCTTCCTTCCCAAGTGCTGGGATTACATTACAGGCATGTGCCAACACACCTGGCTCACTTTCATTCTTATTTCAGTGACTATTACCACCAGTTTGAGTTGGGCCAGTTTCTCCTCCTCTTACTCACTTGATAAAAAGTGTTACGAGTAATTGAAACATCATAATGTTTGCCAATAAAATAATTTTGATAATTCTTACACAGACCTCAAACACCCTAAGTGAAAAAATAACCATGAGCTTTCCAGTTTGTTTCCTCTCAGGTCAACCACCTAACTAACTATATTAAAATCAATTTTTTTCCTGGTCCTGGGGATTGAACGCAGGCCCTCGCACACACTAGACAAGTGCTCTACCAATGAGCTACATCTCCAGCCTTTCTTAAATTATTTTGAGACAAGTCTCACTAAATTTCCGAGGCTGACCTCTAACTTGGCAATCCTCTTGCCTCGACCCCCCTAGCATGTACGATTACAGCCATGCACCAACATGCCCCACTCTCAAATCAGACAAGACATTTCAGTTCAGATGTTTAACCAGGCAGATTCTCTATAAAAATAGTAAATAAGTCCACATATTAGCCCTAAGATAAGTCACAAAACCCTTGATTAACATAGGACTATCCCATTTAATTGTGGTATACACTTTTTTTTCCTTTGGTACCAGGGATCAAACTCAGGACCTTGCACTTGCAAGTCAGGTTCGGTGCCACAGAGCTAAATCCCCGGCCCTACACTTTTTAAATTATAAAATGTTTGAGGAAATAATCCCTTTTCAAGAACAATATTCCACTACCATATCTAGTCACAAGAAGATATATTTTATCAATTCTGATTTACTTTTTACTTTTTTTTTTTTTTGGTATCAGGGATCAAACTCTGGTCCTTGTGCATGTGAGACAGGTGGCGGAACCACTGAGCTAAATCCCTGGCCCTTCTGATTTACTTTTTCACACTTTAACGGCTCTGAAATTTGAATATTATCTCCCTCTCTTGGGCTCCCCATGGACTTCAATTCTCACGTCAGATCCTTCTGAAAATGGTCCTGGGGACCCACTTCCCTCCTTCTTCTCCTCCTCACGCTGCTATATTCCAATGTGAGGACACCGAATCCCAGAGAGGCTCTTTCTCTGTTATTCACCACTCTGCCATCTTCCCAAGAGTCGAAGGTTCTAGTTAAAAGTATGTTGTTTTGGGCCGGGGATTTAACTCAGTAGTTCCAGTGCCTGCCTCGCGAGCGCAAGGTCCCGAGGTCGATCCCCAGTACCAAAAAAAAAAAAGTATGTTGTTTTATTTGGCAGTATTTTTTTCTTAGTGATACATGAAATAATATCACACAACTATTGATGTGTTAGATTTGATGGAACATGTTGTTCCTATATTTTAATTCAAAAGACCATTTTTTTTCCTGGACAAAGTAAACATTCCCCTTTTGACTGGTGTTCTTTGGTTTACTCTTTCTACTTTATTTCTTAGATGCAGGAATAAAGAAACAGAACCAGAGAAAAGTACTTTAGAATATCTACTGTTTCAGATTACTACATGCTTTTTTGCATAAATGAGCTTCAAGAAATGAGGGACTAAATTAAGTTTGTTTCTAAATTCAGTTTTTAAAAGTAAGATTCATGTTCTTTGGAAATAGAATCAATTCTAAAAGTACATGGATATTAGGAGATATGTCATTAATGTGGAACTCAAAATTATACTGTTTTATATTTTTATTAAATTTTTATTCATAGATGGTTGTAGTACATAATGATTACATTCCTTCTGGGAAGTTGTTACATGTACATAACACATCTTTTTTTCATCCCTTTCCCACACCTCCCTCCAAATTCCCTCATTCTTTTTGTTTCCTTTCTTTTTTTTTTTTTGGTACCAGGGATCAAACTCGGGTCCTTGCACTTTTGAGGCAGGCGGCAGAACCACTGAGCTAAATCCCCAGCCTGTTTCCTTTCTTTTTGCAAAAGATCTATCTCCCTATTTTCTATTATCTACTTTTATTTTGCTCCATTTATATTTTGGGTTTCTCATATAAGAGAAGCCATGAGATATTTAAGCTTGTGTTTCTGATTTATTTCACTTAACATTATGACCTCAAAGTGTTGTGGCTTGTGTCTAGATGTCCCCCCAAAGCCTCATGTGGTCATAGGTGGGATTTTTCAGAGGTGGCTGGATATGGTAATAAGCTGGAAATAAGGTTGTGTGATTACTAAATTAGTCCACTGATTGGTTTGGCATAGTTTTGGATGTGGATAATGGGAAGGCCCACACTGGGTGTGAGTGCTACCTGCCCTGAGAGTGGGTAGCCAAAAATAGAATACAAGGGACAGAAAGAGGATACCTTGCTGTTTTGCTGCCTTCCTGCCTTCTGCCTACCATGAACTGTTTCTCCTCTGAGATGCTCCTTTGCCATGCCATCCTGCCTTGGAGCCAGCCAATTATGAACTGAAACCTCTACAAACTGTGAGCCCAAATAATCCTTTTCTTTTCTTTTTTTCTTTTTTTGGTACTGGGGATCAAACTCAGGACCTTGCACTTTTCTGAGGCAGATGGAGGCACTACTGAGCTAAATCCCCAGCCCCCCAAATAATCCTTTTCTCTTTTTTCTCGTTTAAGACACAAGGTAAAATCTGTTTTCCAATAAATGATTCAACTTTATCATTCTTTATAACATGATGTATAAATACCAGATTTTCTTTATCCATTCATCTGCTGATGAACATATGGGCCATTTCCAAGATTTAGCTATTATGAATTGTGCTGCTATAAACATGGGTGTGCATATATCACTTTTATATAATATTAACTCTTTCGGGAAGATACCTAGAAGAGGAATAGCTAGGTAAAATTGAATTTAAATTTTTAGTTTTAATTTTTTGAGGAATCCATATACTGATTTCCAAAATGGTTGTACTGTACATTCTCACCAACACTATAGAAGGATTCCTTTTCCCCTGAAGCCTCTCCGGGATCTGTTATTGATTTATTGATGATCTTCATTCTGACTGGAGTAAGGTAGAATCTCAGTATTCTTTTAATTAGCATTTCTTTAATGGCCAGGATGTTGACATTTTTTCATGTATTTTTCCCCTTCCTTCCATGTCCCTGCCCTCTCCCCCAGTTCTCCTTCCCATTTGAACAGTTTCTATTTCATAGTATCTATTATACATTTTGGTCTTTACACTTGGTTTGTCATACCAGAGAAACAATGCAGTATTTACGTGTCCAATTTATTTCCCTTCAGAGTATGGTCTCAAGATGCAGCCATTTAGCTGTAAATGTCTCAAGTTGATCCTTCTTTATGGCTGATTAGTACTTCACTGTATTAAAAAAAAATCTTCTTTAGCCATTCATCAGTTGATAGGCATCTGGGCTGTTTCCAGTATTTAGCTATTACAAACTGTGC